GCTTTTTTGTGTGCACACGCTTCAGGCGTACACGCTCAGAAAAAGCGCATGTCAGAACAGCAGGCGAATGAAATGCTTAATGATTGCAAATTAGTGCAGTGTCCCATGAGTGTAACTACCGCTTAATTATTTGATGTGAATGTATGTCGTGTTGTACAGTATATTGAGACAGAGGCGTCAGAACTGTAACTGATAGAATGTGTGCTGTAGCTATATTTCTTCAAAAGCAGATCGTGGAGACATTTTAATCGTCCACGATCAAAAATCATCATATCCACACCCCTACTTGAGAGGTAAATGTAAAATGAAACAACAAAATATTTCAGGACACTCACGTGGTTAGTGTAAAAAGCCTATAATGAACTGGGCTGAGTCAGGCTGTGTCAAGCAAAAACACAGTGATCAACCTATTTAATGTTTTAATGACTTAGCCCAGCTCATTAAAGGCTTTTACTGTTCCTTGGAACATTTTATTGTTTCAAAATCTTTATTTAATCCGTTTCTGTTTATTTTCAGGGTTGATTGTTCGCAGTTCCGCTGGCCCTCTGGTTGCTCCTCTGGGATCTTCAGTGGTTTTGCTCTGTTATGTTGATGAACTCTTACTAATGGAGGGTCTGGAGGTGGAATGGAGAAGAACAGACTCACAGACTCTGGTTCATCTGTATCAAGATGGTGAGAGTCGACCAGAGGCCCAGCAGCAGGATTATCATGATAGAGCTCATTTCTTTACTGATCAGATTCAACATGGAAACTTCTCCCTCTGTCTGGACAATCTGAGAGCTGAAGATGAGGGACGATACACATGTAGAGTCTACAGTCAGCAGGATTCTGGAGAAACTGTGGTTCAGATAAAAGATGTTGGTGAGTGTGAAATTGACAGTGGATCTATTTCAACTTAACTTTGTGCTGTAGATTTCATACTGTGATATTGTAACTTTATTCTTTCAGAGCGTTTGCTAGTATCAGGATCAGATCGGTCTGTTTCTGCATATGATGGTGAGGACGTCACTCTGAACTGCTCTGTAGACTCTCACATCAAACCTGAACACATTGAAGAGGTTTTATGGAGGAAAACAGATGGAAATATTCTGGTTCTGCTCTACCAAAACAATGAGGCACATTCATCAAATGAGCGATACATAGACAGAGTTGAGCTCTTCACTGCTGAAATCCCCAAAGGAAACTTCTCTCTCAGACTGAAGAGTGTCAGAACTGAGGATAAAGGAGTTTACATGTGTTTAGTGTTTGCTGGAGGACTTTCAGCCAATGCAACTGTAGTTCTGGAAGTGGGTGAGTCAAGATTAATAAGAATAACTACAACAATAATAACACAATTCAGCCTAAACTATCTCCAACTCTGTGACCATGGGTATGCGCATAGAATATTCAGGGACTTTAAAGGGATGACATAGTTTGTAATTGACCTTGTCACTTAGTGCTATTTCAGTGACACAACCTCCTCACACTACCAAAATTCACAAATAAATAGAATGAGATTTGCAAATAAAATATTTACAAGTACATTTTTGTCACAAACACAACTCTGCCTGCCATTAATTTGTGAGTCACTTCCAGTACATTTGTGGATTTCTTACCAAGATTTATTGACCTTATGCTTCCAATTTGAGACCATGCAGATGATGTGATTAGTTGTAAGGAGAACGTGCTACGATTGGTCAGCACAGTGTAGCCGTTATCTGACTGGCTTGCCTTGAGTAGATGGTGGGTGGAGTCCACCTATTTTGTGGATTTGTGTGCGTCTTGACACTAGAAAGGTTTCAAAATCCACAAATACATGTGGTGATCCACAAATGCACTGGAAGCCATTTTCAAATGTATTATGACTCACAAATGAATGGCAGGCAGAGTTGTGTTTGTGATATAAACAACATCTTTGTAATTTTTTTTATTTTTTTTTATTTTGCAAATATCATTTTTTTTTTACTTTAATTCATGTTTGTGAAACTGAAATCTATTTTTGGATCTCATTCTATTTATTTGTTAATTTAATTTTTGTGAATCTCTTTACATTTATTTGTGAATCATAATCTATTTTTTGGAATAATGGAACAAGTATAACCCCATACATCTCAGCTGTTACGATAAACAGAGATAAAAACTCTTCACTCAGTTTTCACATTAAGCAAATCATTGTAAATTGTGATTTGGTATCTGAATTGTACTGTGAAAATTTGTGGTATTATATATATTAAAAAAATATGAGTGCGGCAGTAATTACAGTTCCCTTTCAGTCGGTCACTCTCAACGTCACGTCGGACGGCGCTTCAGTGGTGGTGGTTTCCCGTGTCGAGTGGGTTGCACACATCAGGCTGCACTACCCCCCTGTTTGTGTTGCAGATGATCATCTCCCCTGTGCGCCTCAGCACGCTAAAAGAGCTCTTTCCCCTAAAAGAGCAATTTCGGGTGCGTCTTTTTAAATACGACGTTGCGTGGCAAACTTGACGTTACGTCTTTGTAAAGACGATGTGGGTCTTGCTATAGACAACGTATCACCCGGGCGTTTCTGGATGCGGTCGTTACCTGG